GAGAAAACGGGTCCGCGGAGAGACGGTCCGCGGAGAGAACGGGTCCGCGGAGAGAACGGGTCCGCGGAGAGAACGGGTCCGCGGAGAGAACGGGTCCGCGGAGAGAACGGGTCTGCGGAGAGAACGGGTCCGCAGAGAGAACGGGTCCGCAGAGAGAACGGGTCCGCAGAGAGAACGGGTCCGCAGTGAGAACGGGTCCGCAGAGAGAACGGGTCCCAGAGAGAACGGGTCCGCAGTGAGAACGGGTCCGCAGTGAGAACGGGTCTGCAGAGAGAACGGGTCTGCAGAGAGAACGGGTCTGCAGAGAGAACGGGTCTGCAGAGAGAACGGGTCCGCAGAGAGAATGGGTCTGCAGAGAGAATGGGGTCTGCAGAGAGAACGGGTCCGCAGTGAGAACGGGTCTGCAGAGAGAATGGGTCTGCAGAGAGAATTTCGCCGCGATCCCAACTGTCTGTTATCAGCCTGCAGCCAGGGAGGAGAGATCAGCAGAGCTGCCTGCACTGAGTGTGTGAGGAAGTCCGTGGATTGGTCAATTTGGACCAATCAGCGGGGGCTTAACGTAACGGCTCCGCAGACGTAACATAACGGCTCCACGGATTGGCCCATTTGGTTCCGGGTACGGGTGACATCATGCGTACCCGGAAGAATCAAATGGACAATGACGCATCTCCAACGAGGCGTTTTGAGGAGGTCTTCTCTGTGTTAGAGTGTTACTCGCTACACGCTGCACTTTGAGGGTTTGTGACTCTGCAGACCGGTTACATGCAGAACAACCTTCATCACAACAAGGGGACGGGTGATAACCGGAAAAGCATGACATGGGACCTTTAACCAGTTAGACCCTACGGCGGGCAAAACGCAACATCTTGCAAGAAACAGCGCCTGAGGTCTTCTTAACATTTAATAAACTATGAATGTGTCATGCCCACTTAACGGGAAGAAACTCAGCTTTCAGACAATATTAACAATTTTTAGCAAAACGAAACAACGGTAATAACGAAGGCTCTGAATTAGCCCTGAGCGAAATAATGCTAATGCAGTTAGCACAGAACTCACGTTGAAATACCTGTATTACTTATCGTATCTGCACAAACAGGATATGGATTAGCAAGCTGACATTCCACAGATTCCAGACATAGAAGTGTCATCACTGACTCGAGACAGGGGAAGCGAACAGAGACATCACACCACGTAGCTTTACGGAGGAAAACGCAGAGAATTTGTCTGATCTTTTGCTGTTTCTGATCAAAAGTGGTCTTCAATGGCATTAAAACGATAAACCCCGCTGCTGAAGGGTCATCCAATGTGTCTGTCATCCATCTTTCCATTTTGATGTCAATAAACGAGATTTCATATTAGCTGCTACGATAGCTACTACTTAAATGTCTTAAACTAGTTCAGAATAGTTTCTTTGTCTATTATAAGAATACAAAGAGTTATTTTCTGCTGTCTCTCAATAAACTAAATATTGATCTCAACTGCATCTATAGTTCATACTGTAGTGAGATCCTACTGAAATAGTTATTTGACATATTTAAGACAAATATGACTAAAAGCAGACTTCAATAAGACTCGGTAAAGATCAGAGAGTTCGTTTCTGCTGTGTTTCATTAAACTAAAGATGTATCTCAACCTCACAGACTCTGCTGTACTGAGAGCCTGCAGCTTCTAAAATATTCACTCACTCCTCCCAAGGACACAATGAAAGCGAGGAGGGGTTGTATTTAAAGGGGACCTATCACGCAAAATGCAGTTTGTGATGTCTTCTCTCCATCAGCATGTGTCCCCGGTGCGTCGGGGAACTCACGCAGCGTCAGGAAACAAAACCCTCTCTCTTTTCCTCCGTACCCAAATCTCTAAAAACGGGGAACAACAGAGCTGATCCAGATCCCTATCAGAAAGTTGCTATCAGAAACAACGCCCGACTGTTTTGGACGTAATATGGTCGGTGTTTACATTAGCATCGCTAACACTCAGAGCTAACCTGTACTGGAGAAGCAGGAAGTAAAAAGGAACTCACCTTGTGGTATAACCGGCAAGAGAGAAAGCCTTTGAGCTCCAGACTGTTTCAGAGAGAATCCTTGATAATCCATGATATGGCGTTTCATCACGGAAGCATTTAGTTTAGACAGTAGCTGCCGGGTCCCGCATGAGCTCAGACCCCTCCTCTTTAAAGCTTTATCCCCCAAATCAGCACTTTAGAAACAGGAAGTGAAATAGAGGGATATGAGGCGTGGCTAGAATGATCTGTTTGGTGTTTGGAGCAAAACACTTCATCGACATGTTTTTATATTTTTGTATATATCTGAGAGCTCTGCTGTTGCCCACAGAGAGCATGATAGGTGAGCTTTAAGTATTTTGTTAGATATACGCTTACAATTAAAACAAATGTAATTAATTAAACTAGGACTTGCATAGAAAGGGTTTTCTGTGAATGATGTAAAAATGTAATGACTAAAACATCACATATTTAAGACTGAAATAACTGAAACTACGTTGAAACAGTTAGAATGGACTGAAATGACTTCAAGGCCATTTCATTTATATAGCACTTTCCAGCACGTGGCGATTTGTGCTTGTGCTTTGGACTAAACTCAAATATTAAGGGTTTTCTTTCACTAGGATCTGACTACAATTATTATTGTTAACTAGATTTAAATAGTTAAGACACTTTGACTGATAGGATGCAGCGGTTGTATGGTCATGTGAGCTGCAGTGGAGGAATGGCGTTCTTCTGACCTGAGCTCCAACAATGAAACATATATAATAAAATACAAGTCAAAAATAGTGCAAGAAGTCTATAAACACGTAAATAGAATATATACAAGAGAATAGTAAGATTAAATTAAATACGATTTATTACGCTGATAACTATTTAGATAAATAAATATATTGCATGATGACAAACAGATGAAGAACGAAGTGACGAAGACACACATGTGGTAAAGATCAGAGAGCTCATTTCCGTCTCAATAATAAACCGTCTTTGATTCGGCAACGCGACATCTTTTGAGGATTAGCTGTTAACTTTTCCCATCAGTGATACGAGGCTTTTGGAAGTGGTGGTGAAGGCCGCTCCTCCGGAAGCATCGAGTGAGACCTTTCGTTAAGGGTCTGCATGCAGAGCCATGCTCTCGCCTCTCTAATGTTTCTTGCATCACAGCGAGAACAAGTCAACACCATCTTCGTGTCCTTAAGCGCACTCATACATCTCTGACCCCATCAAAGCTGCCTGTGCATACTACGAGCCCACACACACACACAACACACACACACACCACACACACACACACACACACCACACACACACACACACACACACACACACACACACTCTCTCGCTCACACATACTCACACACACACTCACACATACTCACACATACTCACACACACTCTCTCTCTCTCTCACACACACTCACACACACACACACACACACACACACTCACACATACTCACACAGTACTCAGACACACACACACACATACACACACTCTCATCTCTCTCTCTCCACTCTACACACACACTCACAATACAACTCACTCACATATTACTACACACTCTCTCTCTTCTCCTCCACACACACCACACACAACACACACACACACACACACACACACAACCACACACACACACACCACACACCACACACCACCACACACACACACCACATGAATTATACTTAAAGTTCAGGGTAATCAACTGTTAAAAAAAAAATTCTCCAATAAATGAATGTTTTCAAAGTCAATGAATAATCGCATTTAATAATTGCAATACAATTATTGACCCAAATAATCGAGATTATGATTTTTTGCCATAATCGAGCAGCCCTAGAGCAGGGTGTGACTTTTATTAGAGATGTGTCTGTTTGTTTTCGTGTCAGGATCTTTGTCTTTTCTCTGCAAACAAAAATGTACCCTGACCCTCAGCCCAGTCTGGGCCTTTTACCAACTGATTCTAAGTTCCTGCAGCACTTGAGTCATATTGGCTGGTTTTCTAAGCTCCTTTGAATTGCCTGGTGTTTGGATTGTGCGTGAAAAATGTACGTGCCTACTTTGAATGCTTTTCTGCAGTTGTAGTTTGGTTTCCTAATGAAGTGTCTCATCAGCACCCTAAGGGTCATTGTCTGTCTCGTGTTTCCTCCTCAGGGTCGCGAGGGGGAGATCCGTCATCTGTTCAGAGGATTCGCCTTCCTCCACTGTAAGAAGCTGGTGGGAGAACGAGGCATGTTCGTCTGCAAGACCCGACAACCTGGTGCTTGGCCGGAGGGTCAAAGGTCAGTGAGACACAACCCCAGGGGCTGTTAGAGAGAGAGAGAGAGGGGCAGGAATGAGTCCTTAAAGGTCACCAATTCTGCAAAATCCACTTCTTCATGTCTCTTCTACATCAACATGTGTCCCCTCTTCTCCATGTCTCTTCTACATCAACATGTGTCCCCTCTTCTTCATGTCTCTTCTACATCAACATGTGTCCCTCTTCTATCATGTCTCTTCTACATCAAACATGTGTCCCCTCTTCTTCATGTCTCTTCTACGTCAACATGTGTCCCCTCTTCTTCATGTCTCTTCTACATCAACTGTGTCCCCTCTTCTTCATTCTCTCTACATCAACATGTGTCCCCTCTTCTTCATGTCTCTTCTACATCAACATGTGTCCCTCTTCTTCATGTCTCTTCTACATCAACATGTGTCCCCTCTTCTTCATGTCTCTTCTACATCAGCATGTGTCCCTCTTCTTCATGTCTCTTCTGTCTCTTCAGCATCAACAGGTGTCCCCTCTTCTTCATGTCTCTTCCACATCAACATGTGTCCCCTCTTCTTCATGTCTCTTCTACATCAGCATGTGTCCCCTCTTCTTCATGTCTCTTCTACATCAACATGTGTCCCCTCTTCTTCATGTCTCTTCTACGTCAACATGTGTCCCCTCTTCTTCATGTCTCTTCTACATCAACATGTGTCCCCTCTTCTTCATGTCTCTTCTACATCAACATGTGTCCCCTCTTCTTCATGTCTCTTCTACATCAACATGTGTCCCCTCTTCTTCATGTCTCTTCTACATCAACATGTGTCCCCTCTTCTCTCATGTCTCTTCTACATCAGCATGTGTCCCCTCTTCTTCATGTCTCTTCTGCATCAACATGTGTCCCCTCTTCTTCATGTCTCTTCTACATCAACATGTGTCCCCTCTTCTTCATGTCTCTTCTACATCAACATGTGTCCCCTCTTCTTCATGTCTCTTCTACATCAACATGTGTCCCCTGTTCTTCATGTCTCTTCTACATCAACATGTGTCCCCTCTTCTTCATGTCTCTTCTACATCAACATGTGTCCCCTCTTCTTCATGTCTCTTCTACATCAACAACATGTGTCCCCTCTTCTTCATGTCTCTTCTACATCAACATGTGTCCCCTCTTCTTCATGTCTCTCTACATCAACATGTGTCCCCTCTTCTTCATGTCTCTTCTACATCAACATGTGTCCCCTCTTCTCATGTCTCTTCTACATCAACATGTGTCCCCTCTCTTCATGTCTCCTTCTTACATCACATGTGTCCCCTCTTCTTCATGTCTCTGCTACATCAACATGGTGTCCCCTCTTCTTCATGTCTCTTTCTACATCAACATGTGTCCCCTCTTGAAACAGAGGGGATTATGGGTAATGCTGCAATGAATCTGTTTGGTGTTTCAGCCAATCAGAGACAGGCTCCTGATATATCTGAGAGCTGATATGTTGATGAAAGACAGGATGATAGGGGGGACTTTAAACCCTTACATGAGTCAGGGTTTCTCCCCTCACTGTTCCCTCCTCTTCACGTCAATGGTTTCCTGAATGTGTTTTTGGTTATAATCAGGTCTGTGTTTAACACGAGCTGAAGAGCTTTATACGTTGTGTTTTACGTCAGTAAACACCCCACTGGTGGATTTTAAAATGGAGGATGCTAACGAGTTTCTAATGAGACCATGTATCTGCCTGCAGTGATTTAGTGCGGCTCTCACCACATGTGGTCGGGAAGAAGACATTCATAGAGTTGGCAACCGCCTTAATCAGCTCCAAAACACTTAGCTTGTATTGATAATGACAAAAGCTTTATTGTTACACAACCCTGTCGTCAATACTAATCTGTAATTCCTGTTGTTTACGTCCGCGGTGCCATCTTGTATACGGGCGTAATGTTCTCATTTATATAGCGCCACAGTACTCATACTGTCTCTCTCTAGAACCAACACCTGACGCATATACATACGTACAGAGGAAGGAGAGCGTGTGTGTGCTTTTAGTCATTGATGTACGTACAGTGTTAATTAAACCCTCAATGTGATGTTTCCTTCAATATATGTTTGAAATGACTTCCCTTCTGTACATCTGTGAACTCTTTCAGCCCAGAGACGTGACCAACTTCACGGTGGGAGGGTTCGCTCCCATGAGTCCTCGCATCACCAGCCCCATGCACCACGGGGGAGGAAGTGAGTACACTCTAATACAGCAAAGCTAAATGTGTTACAGCCCCAAAAAGAAATGCCTCAAAGCGCTGCGCAAAGACAACATACAAACGTCATCGCATAACAATTATAAAAACATTATACTTAAGCAATAGCTCACTTCAGGCTGTGGTATATGGTCAGTATATCACAGCTAAGGGGCGTGGTCCCCCTAGCTGTGATATACTGAGCATATACCACGGCCTGAAGTGAGCAATTGCTTTTATAAGTAAACGGTTACCAAGTGTGGCAATATGAAAGAAACACGTGTTGTTCAATTGGTTTTAAATGTCTGACGATGGTCTGAGCGGCAGCCGCTGCTTACACTGATATCAATTCAAGGCTTTTAAATGAACTGTGTTTTTTGTTCTGCAGGTTCTCCACAGAGAGGAGGTGGTGGAGGAGGAGGAGGAGGAGGAGGTGGGGGGGGAGGAGGAGGAGGAATGGGGCGGGGCCGAGGACGAAGAGACAACGATCTGATTGGTCAAACCGTCCGCATCTCGCAGGGTCCTTACAAAGGTGAGACACTGGAGACATTAATACAGATTATTAAGGTGTTATTATTTTTAATATTAAACTCCAGTGGTGGAAATGCATTTTTTAAAGATTATTTCTGGCATTTGTCATCATGTATCATACTTTATTTTGCAAACATTTAAACATATTTAAAACTTTGGTACCACTTTACAATAAGACCACCCTTATAACGGATTCATAAAGAGTTTATAATTAGGTTGTAAACACTTTATTAATCATTAAGAACCATTTATAAACCAGTTCTAACTTAGTTTTCATACATCAACACAGGCTGACTATTTGGCAAGACGATTAAGCCTTATATTGGCTACTTAGCGAGAATCAACTCGGTGAGCAACAGATACCAAGGATGCTGGCTGATGAAGAAGACGAAGTAAGCTAGGTAGCCAATATAAGGCTTGGCAGTACAGATACATGTGGGCTCACTATTTGGCAAGATGACTAAGCCTTATATTGGCTACTTACAGTGCAGATACATGTGGGCTCACTATTTGGCAAGATGACTAAGCCTTATTTTGGCTACTTACAGTGTAGATACATGTGGGCTCACTATTTAGCAAGATGACTAAGCCTTATATTGGCTACTTACAGTGCAGATACAGGTGGGCTCACTATTTGGCAAGATGACTAAGCCTTATATTGGCTACTTACAGTGTAGATACATGTGGGCTCACTATTTAGCAAGATGACTAAGCCTTATATTGGCTACTTACAGTGCAGATACATGTGGGCTCACTATTTGGCAAGATGACTAAGCCTTATATTGGCTACTTACAGTGCAGATACATGTGGGCTCACTATTTAGCAAGATGACTAAGCCTTATATTGGCTACTTACAGTGCAGATACATGTGGGCTCACTATTTGGCAAGATGACTAAGCCTTATATTGGCTATTTACAGTGCAGATACATGTGGGCTCACTATTTGGCAAGATGACTAAGCCTTATATTGGCTACTTACAGTACAGATACATGTGGGCTCACTATTTGGCAAGATGACTAAGCCTTATATTGGCTACTTACAGTGCATTTACATGTGGGCTCACTATTTGGCAAGACGACTAAGCCTTATATTGGCTACTTAGCGAGAATCAACTCGGTGAGCAACAGATACCAAGGATGCTGGCTGATGAAGAAGACGAAGTAAGCTAGGTAGCCAATATAAGGCTTGGCAGTACAGATACATGTGGGCTCACTATTTGGCAAGATGACTAAGCCTTATATTGGCTACTTACAGTGCAGATACATGTGGGCTCACTATTTGGCAAGATGACTAAGCCTTATTTTGGCTACTTACAGTGTAGATACATGTGGGCTCACTATTTAGCAAGATGACTAAGCCTTATATTGGCTACTTACAGTGCAGATACATGTGGGCTCACTATTTAGCAAGATGACTAAGCCTTATATTGGCTACTTACAGTGCAGATACATGTGGGCTCACTATTTGGCAAGATGACTAAGCCTTATATTGGCTATTTACAGTGCAGATACATGTGGGCTCACTATTTGGCAAGATGACTAAGCCTTATATTGGCTACTTACAGTACAGATACATGTGGGCTCACTATTTGGCAAGATGACTAAGCCTTATATTGGCTACTTACAGTGCATTTACATGTGGGCTCACTATTTGGCAAGACGACTAAGCCTTATATTGGCTACTTAGCGAGAATCAACTCGGTGAGCAACAGATACCAAGGATGCTGGCTGATGAAGAAGACGAAGTAAGCTAGGTAGCCAATATAAGGCTTGGCAGTACAGATACATGTGGGCTCACTATTTGGCAAGATGACTAAGCCTTATATTGGCTACTTACAGTGCAGATACATGTGGGCCTCACTATTTGGCAAGATGACTAAGCCTTATATTGGCTACTTACAGTGCAGATACATGTGGGCTCACTATTTGGCAAGATGACTAAGCCTTATATTGGCTACTTACAGTGCAGATACATGTGGGCTCACTATTTGGCAAGATGACTAAGCCTTATATTGGCTACTTACAGTGCAGATACATGTGGGCTCACTATTTAGCAAGATGACTAAGCCTTATATTGGCTACTTACAGTGCAGATACATGTGGGCTCACTATTTGGCAAGATGACTAAGCCTTATATTGGCTATTTACAGTGCAGATACATGTGGGCTCACTATTTGGCAAGATGACTAAGCCTTATATTGGCTACTTACAGTGCATTTACATGTGGGCTCACTTTTTGGCAAGACGACTAAGCCTTATATTGGCTACTTAGCGAGAATCAACTCGGTGAGCAACAGATACCAAGGATGCTGGCTGATGAAGAAGACGAAGTAAGCTAGGTAGCCAATATAAGGCTTGGCAGTACAGATACATGTGGGCTCACTATTTGGCAAGATGACTAAGCCTTATATTGGCTACTTACAGTGCAGATACATGTGGGCTCACTATTTGGCAAGATGACTAAGCCTTATATTGGCTACTTACAGTGCAGATACATGTGGGCTCACTATTTGGCAAGATGACTAAGCCTTATATTGGCTACTTACAGTGCAGATACATGTGGGCTCACTATTTGGCAAGATGACTAAGCCTTATATTGGCTACTTAGCGAGAATCAACTCGGTGAGCAACAGATACCAAGGATGCTGGCTGATGAAGAAGACGAAGTAAGCTAGGTAGCCAATATAAGGCTTGGCAGTACAGATACATGTGGGCTCACTATTTGGCAAGATGACTAAGCCTTATATTGGCTACTTACAGTGCAGATACATGTGGGCTCACTATTTGGCAAGATGACTAATCCTTATATTGGCTACTTACAGTGCAGATACATGTGGGCTCACTATTTGGCAAGATGACTAAGCCTTATTTTGGCTACTTACAGTGTAGATACATGTGGGCTCACTATTTAGCAAGATGACTAAGCCTTATATTGGCTACTTACAGTGCAGATACATGTGGGCTCACTATTTGGCAAGATGACTAAGCCTTATATTGGCTACTTACAGTGCAGATACATGTGGGCTCACTATTTGGCAAGACGACTAAGCCTTATATTGGCTACTTAGCGAGAATCAACTCGGTGAGCAACAGATACCAAGGATGCTGGCTGATGAAGAAGACGAAGTAAGCTAGGTAGCCAATATAAGGCTTGGCAGTACAGATACATGTGGGCTCACTATTTGGCAAGATGACTAAGCCTTATATTGGCTACTTACAGTGCAGATACATGTGGGCTCACTATTTGGCAAGATGACTAAGCCTTATATTGGCTACTTACAGTGCAGATACATGTGGGCTCACTATTTGGCAAGATGACTAAGCCTTGTATTGGCTATTTACAGTGCAGATACATGTGGGCTCACTATTTGGCAAGATGACTAAGCCTTATATTGGCTACTTAGCGAGAATCAACTCGGTGAGCAACAGATACCAAGGATGCTGGCTGATGAAGAAGACGAAGTAAGCTAGGTAGCCAATATAAGGCTTGGCAGTACAGATACATGTGGGCTCACTATTTGGCAAGATGACTAAGCCTTATATTGGCTACTTACAGTGCAGATACATGTGGGCTCACTATTTGGCAAGATGACTAAGCCTTATATTGGCTACTTACAGTGCAGATACATGTGGGCTCACTATTTGGCAAGATGACTAAGCCTTATATTGGCTACTTACAGTGCAGATACATGTGGGCTCACTATTTGGCAAGATGACTAAGCCTTATATTGGCTACTTAGCGAGAATCAACTCGGTGAGCAACAGATACCAAGGATGCTGGCTGATGAAGAAGACGAAGTAAGCTAGGTAGCCAATATAAGGCTTGGCAGTACAGATACATGTGGGCTCACTATTTGGCAAGATGACTAAGCCTTATATTGGCTACTTACAGTGCAGATACATGTGGGCTCACTATTTGGCAAGATGACTAATCCTTATATTGGCTACTTACAGTGCAGATACATGTGGGCTCACTATTTGGCAAGATGACTAAGCCTTATTTGGCTACTTACAGTGTAGATACATGTGGGCTCACTATTTAGCAAGATGACTAAGCCTTATATTGGCTACTTACAGTGCAGATACATGTGGGCTCACTATTTGGCAAGATGACTAAGCCTTATATTGGCTACTTACAGTGCAGATACATGTGGGGCTCACTATTTGGCAAGACGACTAAGCCTTATATTGGCTACTTAGCGAGAATCAACTCGGTGAGGCAACAGATACCAAGGATGCTGGCTGATGAAGAAGAACGAAGTAAGCTAGGTAGCCAATATAAGGCTTGGCTAGTACAGATCAATGTGGGCTCACTATTTGGCAAGATGACTAAGCCTTATATTGGCTACTTACAGTGCAGATACATGTGGGCTCACTATTTGGCAAGATGACTAAGCCTTATATTGGCTACTTACAGTGCAGATACATGTGGGCTCACTATTTGGCAAGATGACTAAGCCTTGTATTGGCTATTTACAGTGCAGATACATGTGGGCTCACTATTTGGCAAGATGACTAAGCCTTATATTGGCACTTAGCGAGAATCAAACTCGGTGAGCAACAGATACCAAGGATGCTGGCTGATGAAGAAGACGAAGGTAAGCTAGGTAGCCAATATAAGGCTTGGCAGTACAGATACATGTGGGCTCACTATTTGGCAAGATGACTAAGCCTTATATTGGCTACTTACAGTGCAGATACATGTGGGCTCACTATTTGGCAAGATGACTAATCCTTATATTGGCTACTTACAGTGCAGATACATGTGGGCTCACTATTTGGCAAGATGACTAAGCCTTATTTTGGCTACTTACAGTGTAGATACATGTGGGCTCACTATTTGGCAAGACGACTAAGCCTTATATTGGCTACTTAGCGAGAATCAACTCGGTGAGCAACAGATACCAAGGATGCTGGCTGATGAAGAAGACGAAGTAAGCTAGGTAGCCAATATAAGGCTTGGCAGTACAGATACATGTGGGCTCACTATTTGGCAAGATGACTAAGCCTTATATTGGCTACTTACAGTGCAGATACATGTGGGCTCACTATTTGGCAAGATGACTAAGCCTTATATTGGCTACTTACAGTGCAGATACATGTGGGCTCACTATTTGGCAAGACGACTAAGCCTTATATTGGCTACTTACAGTGCAGATACATGTGGGCTCACTATTGGCAAGATGACTAAGCCTTATATTGGCTACTTACAGTGCAGATACATGTGGCTCATATTTGGCAAGATGACTAAGCCTTATATTGGCTACTTACAGTGCAGATACATGTGGGCTCACTATTTAGCAAGATGACTAAGCCTTATATTGGCTACTTACAGTGCAGATACATGTGGGCTCACTTTGGCAAGACGACTAAGCCTTATATTGGCTACTTACAGTGCAGATACATGTGGGCTCACATTTGGCAAGACGACTAAGCCTTATATGGCTACTTACAGTGCAGATACAGTGGGCTCACTATTTGGCAAGACGACTAAGCCTTATATTGGCTACTTACAGTGTAGATACATGTGGGCTCACTATTTGGCAAGATGACTAAGCCTTATATTGGCTACTTACAGTGCAGATACATGTGGGCTCACTATTTGGCAAGATGACTAAGCCTTATATTGGCTACTTACAGTCAGATACATGTGGGCTCACTATTTGGCAAGATGACTAAGCCTTGTATTGGCTATTTACAGTGCAGATACCATGTGGGCTCACTATTTGGCAAGATGACCTAAGCCTTATATTGGCTACTTAGCGAGAATCAACTCGGTGAGCAACAGATACCAAGGATGCTGGCTGATGAAGAAGACGAAGTAAGCTAGGGTAGCCAATATAAGGCTTGGCAGTACAGATACATGTGGGCTCACTATTTGGCAAGATGACTAAGCCTTATATTGGCTACTTACAGTGCAGATACATGTGGGCTCACTATTTGGCAAGATGACTAAGTCCTTATATTGGCTACTTACAGTGCAGATACATGTGGGCTCACTATTTGGCAAGATGACTAAGCCTTATTTTGGCTACTTACAGTGTAGATACATGTGGGCTCCACTATTTGGCAAGATGACTAAGCCTTATATTGGCTACTTACAGTGCAGATACAGTGGGCTCACTATTTGGCAAGATGACTAAGCCTTATATTGGCTACTTACAGTGCTAGATTACATGTGGGCTCACTATTTGGCAAGATGACTAAGCCTTATATTGGCTACTTACAGTGCAGATACATGTGGGCTCACTATTTGGCAAGATGACTAAGCCTTATATTGGCTACTTACAGTGCAGATACATGTGGGCTCACTATTTGGCAAGACGACTAAGCCTTATATTGGCTACTTACAGTGCAGATACATGTGGCTCACTATTTGGCAAGATGACTAAGCCTTATATTGGCTACTTACAGTGCAGATACATGTGGGCTCACTATTTGGCAAGATGACTAAGCCTTATATTGGCTACTTTACAGTGCAGATACATGTGGGCTCACTATTTGCAAGCATGACTAAGCCTTATATTGGCTACTTACAGTGCAGATACATGTGGGCTCACTATTTGGCAAGACGACTAAGCCTTATATTGGCTACTTACAGTGCAGATACATGTGGGCTCACTATTTGGCAAGACGACTAAGCCTTATATTGGCTACTTACAGTGTAGATACATGTGGGCTCACTATTTGGCAAGATGACTAAGCCTTATATTGGCTACTTACAGTGCAGATACATGTGGGCTCACTATTTGGCAAGACGACTAAGCCTTATATTGGCTACTTACAGTGCAGATACATGTGGGCTCACTATTTGGCAAGATGACTAAGCCTTATATTGGCTACTTACAGTGCAGATACATGTGGGCTCACTATTTGGCAAGATGACTAAGCCTTATTTTGGCTACTTACAGTGTAGATACATGTGGGCTCACTATTTAGCAAGATGACTAAGCCTTATATTGGCTACTTACAGTGCAGATACATGTGGGCTCACTATTTGGCAAGATGACTAAGCCTTATATTGGCTACTTACAGTGCAGATACATGTCGGCTCACTATTTGGCAAGATGACTAAGCCTTATATTGGCTACTTACAGTGCATTTACATGTGGGCTCACTATTTGGCAAGACGACTAAGCCTTATATTGGCTACTTACAGTACAGATACATGTGGGCTCACTATTTGGCAAGATGACTAAGCCTTATATTGGCTACTTACAGTGCATTTACATGTGGGCTCACTATTTGGCAAGACGACTAAGCCTTATATTGGCTACTTACAGTGCAGATACATGTGGGCTCACTATTTGGCAAGCAACCGGTCACAGTCGCCCTGTTTATCTCACGTCTTGTAAAAAGCTTATTAATGATTTATAAAGTGTTCACAACCTAATTAATTAATTAATTAATTACAAACTATTCGTAAAGTCTTTATCATGGTGGTCTTACATATATTTAAGTTTTTTAAAACATTTATTTTTTGACAACTTTTGGAAAAAATCATCTTTTTTTCAGATATTTTTTCTGACATTTTCTAATTATTATTATTTTAGACAATTTGTCCAAACATTTTTCAGACACTTAAAAAAAAAAAATCAAAAAATGAGACCTGGAGACACTCTTTGTGCGCGGTGCCAGATAAGATTAGGATGCATTAATGTTTTATTATGTGTAATATTAGATACCAGTGGTGGATATGTATGTTTTTAAAATATCTTTCAAACATTCTTCAGACACTTTTAAAACATTTTCTCACATTTTTTTATATTTTTAAATCCAAAAGTCAACATCTATTGATTTGTGATATAAAATTCACAACATATTTTTACCCAACCAAATATTCTGCTTCACCCCAATTGTTTGCATTTAGTGTCAAAAACATTTAACTGTCCTAATTGTCTTTAAATGAATGATGCATTTCCCTACATTTCCCAGGATACATTGGGGTGGTGAAGGACGCCACAGAGTCCACGGCGCGTGTTGAGCTGCACTCGACCTGTCAGACCATCTCAGTGGATCGACAGCGCCTCACCACCATGTACGAAACATTATTATTATGTATTTATTTCAACAAGGACCATGCATACAAATACATTGATCCCAGAGAAGAGATTAATGTATGCCAGTTTGTAGCTAATAGCTCATTTCCATCTGCAGTCCTTAGGCAGTTGCAAGGCTTTATCATCATGTGCACATATACGGTGTAGATCTGGCAATGAACAACGTGCTTTCTACTTCTCTCATGTTCCAAACAGCTGGTTCCTTTAGTCTCATGAACTTCCCCACTCAATCTATCAAGACCCGAGCAGTTCTACCAAAAGTCCACGGTTAAAGGCACAGGCCGGCGCATGCCGCTCATGGAATCCCTTATCATATGAACTCTGACCCCCAGTGTACCAGTGAAGAGACACATGTGTCAGCTCCTTATTAGAATAGTATTTCTTCTCTTCTCTGAGAAACAAGGGTATGAAAAGATCAGCCAGAAACAGAGGAAGAGAGGCACAACGTGACTACGTGAATGCACTCCCCTAAATATTAAACGAGTAAGAGGTGAAGAAACACAAAGCCAGAAATTGAAATGAAAAGGCATCTCGTGCTTCCCCTTAGAATAGGGTGTAGATTATGAAGAGAGGACATGGGATACTAGTGAAGAGGGACAACAGTGAAAAGGCCCAACATACTCAACGTAACAGCCCTTTCCAAAGAGACAGAAACACAAAGTATACGCCGAGAGGCACAACGAGACTACGTAAATGCACTCCCCCGTTTAAATTAGTACAAAGGAACAGGGATGAAACTAAACTAATCAAAAGAAGGAAGTGGGGAGGCCTAAATGCCGTCTCCTAGATTAAGTTTAAAGGAAAGAACTGGGGAACAAACAAGTACATGAGGAAAGGCCCAACGAGTCAACGTCAACACACTCTCCTAGAATAGTTCAAGGTAAACGGGGAGGAAGAATATAGCAGGAAACAGAGCTGAAAAGGCTTTCCCTCTAGTCCAGGGTGAAATTGTAGGATAAGAATCAGAGATAGAGAGCACACCAACCTATCTCTTCGTCAGAATGTACTCCCCCGCCTGGATAAGCGACTCTGTACCCCTTCCCCCTCTACCGGACCTATATCCGCAGAGGGAGAGGAGAGGGACCAAGCCCAAAAAGGGGGTTTAGGGTTTAGGCGTGATCATTATTCTTTAGAGTCATTGCGTGCCTATTGATTGGAACACGATCCGTGTATCCATCATTTCCTGGTCTTCTCTAAAGAAGAGGGACCAATGGAAACGTTGTCATGTTGCCGTTGTTCAGCATGGAAACATTCATTAGCTAACAATGACATTATTGTTCTATTGATATAAAGGGAGGTCAGGTACTCTTTAAAACAGCTGCTAGTTATGGGTACTTTTTACTGAAGTACATTTCAAAGCCCTCTTTACTTTGACTTGAGTGAAGAAGTTTAGTCAGTACTTCTACTTTCACCAGAGTATTTTTAAACACGAGGATCTGTACTTCTACTCGAGTGAAGGATGTGTGTACTTTAACCATCTCTCTAACCTCACATTGACCTCCATCCTCTCCACCTCAGGGGGGCTAAGAGGCACAGCGGGCAGACCTCGACTCACGGCCGCACCCCGATGTACGGTTCCCAGACTCCGATGTACGGGACGGGATCCAGAACGCCCATGTACGGCTCTCAGACGCCCGTACAGGAAGGTGAGAGGGGGAATAATTATCTGTATTTGACACAAAGTACTGCACATCAAATACACACTTTTCACACATACATGTACACATATCTAATATTTATATATGACCCAAATATGTATATATGTTCATCTTTAATTTTGTTTTTGTGTGTTTTACATTAGCATTTCTATTTCTATACGTTTAAACCCTGTAGCTAAAAGTTACTTATAATTCCCGTGAAATAAAACGTATTTCTCACTTTCTCACGTTGTTGCTCCAGCTGGAAGCCGCACGCCTCACTACGGCTCTCAAACCCCATTGCATGATGGGAGCAGGACGCCGGGTCAGAGCGGAGCCTGGGACCCCAGCAACCCCAACACACCCTCCAGGTAACACACACACACTCAGACACACACACTTCACACGTGTGAACATTCTGGTGCTCACATTTCCTAGGCATTTATAGCACTAGCTCTATTGGTGCATGACGGGGCTCTTGTTTTGAAAAACATGTATCAGCTGGAGCTTCCTTTAAGGATACACTTACTCTATGGGGCTCTTATTTTGAAAAACATGTATCAGCTGGAGCCTCCTTTAAGGATACACTTACTCTATGGGGCTCTTATTTTGAAAAACATGCATCAGCTGGAGCTTCCTTTAAGGATACACTTACTCTATGGGGCTCTTATTTTGAAAAACATGCATCAGCTGGAGCTTCCTTTAAGGACACACTTACTCTATGGGGCTCTTATTTTGAAAAACATGTATCAGCTGGAGCTTCCTTTAAGGACACACTTACTCTATGGGGCTCTTATTTTGAAAAACATGCATCAGCTGGAGCTTCCTTTAAGGACACACTTACTCTATGGGGCTCTTATTTTGAAAAACATGCATCACCTGGTGCTTCCTTTAAGGATACACTTACTCTATGGGGCTCTTATTTTGAAAAACATGCATCACCTGGAGCTTCCTTTAAGGACACACTTACTCTATGGGGCTCTTATTTGAAAAACATGTATCAGCTGGAGCTTCCTTTAAGGACACACTTACTCTATGGGGCTCTTATTTGAAAAACATGCATCAGCTGGAGCTTCCTTTAAGGACACACTTACTCTATGGGGCTCTTATTTTGAAAAACATGCATCACCTGGTGCTTCCTTTAAGGATACACTTACTCTATGGGGCTCTTATTTTGAAAAACATGCATCACCTGGAGCTTCCTTTAAGGACACACTTACTCTATGGGGCTCTTATTTTGAAAAACATGTATCAGCTGGAGCTTCCTTTAAGGACACACTTACTCTATGGGGCTCTTATTTTGAAAAACATGCATCACCTGGAGCTTCCTTTAAGGACACACTTACTCTATGGGGCTCTTATTTTGAAAACATGTATCAGCTGGAGCTTCCCTTTAAGGACACACTTACTCTATGGGGCTCTTATTTTGAAAAACATGCATCAGCTGGAGCTTCCTTTAAGGACACACTTACTCTATGGGGCTCTTATTTTGAAAAACATGCATCACCTGGTGCTTCCTTTAAGGATACACTTACTCTATGGGGCTCTTATTTTGAAAAACATGCATCACCTGGAGCTTCCTTTAAGGACACACTTACTCTATGGGGCTCTTATTTTGAAAAAATACATCACCTGGAGCTTCCTGTAAGCAAATAGTCCTCCCTTGGGTCTTTTAGTTTGAAAACAAATTCTAACCCTGAGCTTCCTGTGAACTGTATTGGGCTTTTATTTTGAAATGTGCCACACACACACACAGCACAGTATTTCTTTTAAAGGGCTCCTATGATGCAAAATGCACTTTTTTATGTCTTTTATACATAATGTCCCCGGTGTGTCAGGAGACCCTTAACGTATGCCTAATGATTGTATAATAGGAGACCCTTAAATAAGTGTGTATTTCTTTTCACGTTGTTCTGTATCTCTAACGGTGTTATCCTGTCTTCTCCAGGAATGACGAGGAGTATGACTTTGGGTACGACGATGAACCGTCCCCCTCCCCTCAGGGTTACACCGGGACCCCCAACCCCCAGACCCCCGGGTACCCAGAGGTCCCCTCTCCTCAGGTTAACCCTCAGTACAACCCTCAGACGCCGGGCACGCCTGCTATGTGAGTCTCAACACACTCGGTCAACAGCAAACGTGTTTCAAATGTTTTGTCCCATTTTGGTGTCAAATTTAAATGTCTTGATTTCTGCTCCCCGTACATCCAACCTCAACCCACACTGACTTACAAAGTGAAACTGCTTTATTCATTTTCCGTTATTGTTTTAATCCGTTAATCCTGTGCGTATAATTCCTCTGCGGTGAAAAGCTCCTTGGATCTTAAATGATCAGAGGAACGGGCGGAGCGTACTTTCAGTGGCTTCATGGGGTGTCACGGGTTTTAGACCGTTGTTTTTGAGAGGAGGAGATTTCCGTAGGTAATTCTGCTGTCCTGTAACAACTGGATCTTAAGATTTCAGCCTCTGCAGACCGTTTACATGCACTAACACCCTTTAGAGCACACTGCAGGGAAGGGAACAAAGGTCCAAAGGAGAACACCAGCAGTAAATCTATCTGTGACGCCTCCAGGTGTTCACACCAGTGTTCATTTAGTCCTGTGTCGAATGTCCTCGTTAGTTTTCGTCACCTTCATCCTGTTTTATTTAGACGACTAACAGTCTGAGCATTTCAGTCGTATTTTTCCTCAACGATATTGCATGATATCGTTACGGTTATTGTTTACTGACGTCGGTGCCGTCTCGTCTTAGTCATGGAAAACAATGTCGTTGGCGAACACGGCATAGAGTCAACGAAAGTAACACTAGTTCAGACCCTCTGTAACGGTGTGTGTGTGTGTGTGTGTGTGTGTGTGTGTGTGTGTTCAGGTACAACACGGAGCAGTACTCTCCGTACGCCGCCCCCTCCCCTCAGGGCTCCTACCAGCCCAGCCCCTCCCCTCAGAGCTACCACCAGGTGGCGCCCTCTCCGGTGGGATACCAGAACACACATTCCCCCGCCAGCTACCACCCCACACCCTCCCCCATGGCGTACCAGGTAATCAGACATTTACAAGGTGTTATCGTCATATGCACACGATGACTTTCTTCTGACCTGAGCTCCTCCAACGATGCAACATATATAATCAAATCAAACGGCGTTCATATTCATTTGATACGTCTGAATTGGGGTTAATGGTGCAGTTCAATTATAAAACGTTATGTATGAAGAGTTTTACAGGCGTAATAACACCCGCATGGAGACGAGTCACTGGTTGACAGTTTGACACTTCTTTAACCCTAAAACAGATCCAGACCAGCAGAATAGGAAATGAAATAATGTACACTAAGGCAGCAGTCAATACGGTGATATAAAGTGAGCCTTTCAAACGTTGGGTGTAATGATTTGCCCCAGACTTTCAGACGTAGTTATGAAGTTCTTACCAGAACTGATGCTAACCAACGCCGAGCCAATAATGTCATATAATTATATATTTGTATATTTATATAGTCTTAAAGTTACAAACGGTTCTTTTGAGTGCAACGATAATTCTGATGTGTCCCGCCATGAAATTGAGTTTGACCCCCCTGCTTTAGAGTGAGCGCTTCAAACGCCAATATCGTTCATATTCATTCGCAAAGACTGGATTCCGATAACACTTGATCGAGTGACTCGCTCCATGTGTAACATCGACACTATGCACTAACCCGGAGGAAAACATGAATCAACATTTCTGTAAATGTGGAAAGAGTTCATCTGTAGTCCCGGACAGATTTAGTCAAGTCGACCTGCCGCTGAGAACGCTCGGTCTCCCCTGGTCTTACATTATATTCAAAGGGTCTTCAAAGGGTCTTCAAAGAGTCTTCAAAGGGTCTTCAAAGGGTCTTCAAAGGGTCTTCAAAGAGTCTTCAAAGGGTCTTCAAAGGGTCTTCAAAGAGTCTTCAAAGGGTCTTCAAAGGGTCTTCAAAGGGTCTTCAAAGAGTCTTCAAAGGGTCTTCAAAGGGTCTTCAAAGGGTCCTGCAGGAACCCTGCTTTATTGAATGGTGATTCTAACCGGTAGTATCTCTCCCCCCTCTCCCCCCACAGGCCAGTCCCAGTCCCAGTCCAGTGGGGTACAGTCCGATGACCCCCGGAGCCCCCTCCCCCGGAGGGTACAACCCTCACACGCCCGGGTCCAACATCGAGCAGGGCGGCAGCGACTGGGTCACGCCCGACATCTTAGTGAAGATCAAAGACTCCTTCATGGACCTGATGGGGCAGAGCGGAGTCATCCGGAGCGTCACGGTAACACACAGAGAGACACACACACACACTGAGAGAGACACACACACTCTGAGCGAGACACACACACCGAGAGACACGCACACACTGAGAGAGACACACACACACCGAGACACACACACACTGATACACACACACACACCGAGAGACACGCACACACTGAGAGAGACACACACACACACTGAGACACACACACACTGATACACACACACACAGAGAGACACACACACAACAACATAATAATAAACTATTATAGACCTTTGTAAGTCTAAACTGATTAATTCCTCAATCTGAGAGCACAGTTTGACACACACACACACACACACACTCTGAGACACACAGAGAGACACACACACACACACACACTGAGACACACACACACACACACACTCTGAGACACACAGAGAGAGACACCACACACACACACACACACACACACACACACACACACACAGTTACCAATGTTAACATTTCATAAGAAGTCAAATATGTGTTATATTGTTTTTAAGCTTATGTTCGGTTGCAGTGTGTGTTTCTGTACGACAGCATTAACTGTGTGTGTGTGTGTGTGTGTGTGTGTGTGTGTGTGTGTGTGTGTGTGTGTGTGTGTGTGTGTGTGTGTGTGTGTGTGTGTGTAGGGTGGGATGTGCTCGGTGTTCATGCAGGAGTCAGAGAAGGTGGTCAGCATCAGCAGCGATCACCTGGAGCCCGTCACCCCCACCAAGAACAACAAGGTACCCTTCCTCATCCTCCTCATCCTTTTATCATTTGTTATTTTGATGTGAACAGAATCTCATCCACGTGCTTTTGGCCGTGTTTGGATGAAATGACCCTTCCTTCCTTTTACGACACACTTTTTCTGACCTCACGATGACATGAATGTATCTTTTGTTATTTCGAGTTTTGATGACTTTCACTTTTATTGTCCTTTTCTGACATCACATATGGTTTAATATTGAACTTGCACACATCGAGGGACTTCCACAGTAATTCAGCTGCAATTAATAACATATACACCAAGTCATGAAAGCAGTGTGTTGTCATGGTGACGCTGATGTGCCTCCTCTCTGCAGGTGAAGGTGATCCTGGGCGAGGACAGAGAGGCCACGGGGATCCTGCTCAGTATCGACGGAGACGACGGCATCGTGCGGATGGAGCTGGACGACCAGCTGAAGATCCTCAACCTGCGCTTCCTGGGCCGCCTGGAGCACTGAGGACACACACACACACACACACACACACTCACAGAGGGAAGTGTTCGCTGCGTATTAACTCACTGCAATGTCGAGAATTTAGTTTTTTGAGAAGCTCCACACCAAAAGATCCTCATTCTTCTGCAGTGTGTGTGAGGCGTCCATATATCTGGCTCAGAGTGTGTGTGTGTTACTTTGTTTACCAGAAACCATCACACACACACACAGCAGGAAGTGTTGGCTGCGTATTAACTCGCTGCAATGTGGGGGAAAAGTGTTGGAATTTAGTTTTTGAGAAGCTCCACACCAAAAGAACCTCACCTTTTTACAGCAGTGTGTGTGAGGCGTCCATATATCTGGCTCTCAGAGTGTGTGTGTGTGTGTGTTGCTTTGTTTTCCAGAAACCATCACACACACACACACAGCAGCTCTCTCTCTCTCTCTCTGGTCTTTTTATTTGTAGCTGGGCTGTATCTGTTTTAGTGCCGTCTGAATGTTCTGTCTTTTTGTTTTCCTCGGTGGAGAAGGGGTTAAAGAAGTGTAACATGTCAATAAACTCTCAACCAGTGAAGCTCGTCTCCCTGCGGGTTTTATTACGACTACATCTTCACACATAACCTTTTAAACTCTAAATCAACAGGTCTTGTGTTTGTGCAAAGTGTCAGATGAGGAATTACTCCAAAGTTTTGTGAAGTCCAAAAGCCGTCGTTTATTACGAAAAAATGATGAGATTCTGCTTCAAAACACCATTTATCTTTTAGCTCTTTAAAACGGTCTGCTTTGAATACTTTATACACACTGCTATTACACTTATAAACATCTACACACAATTCACCTAAACAGGAATACTTGGAGATAAACATTACATTATTTCAGAAAAGTGTGTGTCGTAAATATGGAGAACAATTAAATATCACAATATATACTTTGATGGTATTGTGACGACATGGCTGGGTTGACTGTTTACAATGAGATGTCTGTAATCATTAGTAATGTCTTGGTACATTTCCAAAGGTTTGATTTGGACATGTTTAAGACAACTTTCACATTACTTTAAAAATGTGCAAATGTTCTGGATATTTTCTCCTTTTTCAATAATTTACACATTTTGAAAAAAAATTTAACGCTTTTTCAAAAATGTTTTTTACATATTTTCTTGACTTTTTTTCACAATTGAAACAACATTTTTTTTTGAGAGATATTGGTTCCATTTCGCTCTTCTATTTTTCACACATTTGTAGGACCTCACATTTCCAGAGCTTAGCAAAGTCAAAAGACAACATTTATAACTCACATGTTTTATCCAACCGAATACTCTGCTTTAAACTGAATGTTATGTTGGTAGCTTTCAAAAAGTCAAACACTCAACAAAAACTTCCATTAAAGGTCCCATGCTCTTCCGGTTAACCCGTCCCTTGTGTGTGATGAAGGTTGTTCTGCATGTGACCGGTCTGCAGAGTCACTAACCCTCAAAGTGCACCCTGTAGGGAGTAACACTCTAACACAGAGAAGACCTGTCTGCTGCCCCAGAACGCCTCGTTGGACTTTTCTCTTTTTCCATTGTTTACTTCCTGGGTTCTGTGACGTGAGGACACCCAGAGGCAGAGTCGGGTGTAACGCGTTACTGTAATAATATTACTTGTGTCAGGAACGGAGTAGTGTAACGCGCTACTTTTATAATTCAGTAATCACACTACAGTTACTAACATTGCCCCGACACGCGTTACTTCGTTACTAAAATCATTCATAATCAAACCTCAACAAACACCTGCGAAGAACACATGCTAAGGTGAAGCTAACGCACAGCTATTTGTTGTTTGTTTATATCACGTAGTCTGTTCTTCTTCTCTGTTTTCCGGTTGTTGCCTGTTTTGAATGACGAATACACACTACCGCCGCCTGCTGGTAAGGAGAGTTATTGCCACGCACGCATGCGCAGTTCGTACGTGCTCGGCTGAAGTCTTTGCGGTGTCTGGCTCCAGTGCAACACATGGCCAACACGCAGGAGAACACGCCGACGCAACAGCGTGAGCAGAGATAGACAAAATATACAGATATCAGGAGACAGAGGACAGCCACGGTCAGATAGGAGAACATTCAGGATCTGGATCAGTCTGATGCGACAATGGAAACTGAACTAAAGAGAACATTTGAAACTTTAGCAGTCGGCGTGATCTGCCTGCAGGGAGGGGCGGGCCGGCCCTGCGAGTAAAGTAACCAGTTACTTTATGTAGATGTAGAGAGTAACGAAGTAGTGTAATATATTACTTTTTTTTTAGTAACGACCCCATCTCTGCCCAGAGGCCACACCCTCTGCCAGCCTTTCAGGAAACAAAGCTTCCCAAACCTTTCAGCTATTCATGGCGGATGTGTTCAGCGTAGGGAACTGAAGAACGATGCTGTTCCTATTTAGTTTGGACCAGCGGGAGATTCGGGTACACAACCTGCAAGTATTCATTGTTGTTTGTGTATTTATGATGTTTAAAACAATCAAGGTATCTTCCACGACTGTTTAAATGGGTAAACGTTTTTCGGGCTACTAAGTTGGTATCGCGGAGAAATGCTCTCCGCAGACCCGTGCTCTCTGCAGACCCGTGCTCTCCGCAGACCCGTGCTCTCTGCAGACCCGTGCTCTCCGCAGACCCGTGCTCTCCGCAGACCCGCAGACCCATGCTCTCCGCAGACCCGTGCTCTCTGCAGACCCGTGCTCTCTGCAGACCCGTGCTCTCCGCAGACCCGTGCTCTCCGCAGACCCGTGCTCTCCGCAGACCCGTGCTCTCCGCAGACCCGTGCTCTCCGCAGACCCGTGCTCTCCGCAGACCCGTGCTCTCCGCAGACCCGTGCTCTCCGCAGACCCGTGCTCTCCGCAGACCCGTGCTCTCCGCAGACCCGTGCTCACAGCGTTAGAAACCTTTTTCTTACTCAATATCAAGCCACACTTATTGTTTTTACTTCGGCTGTGAGGTTTAGTGTTGCCATGGTGATCACAGCCCACCATCAGGTTGTGAGAGGGCGGGACCTTCACCTGGAACAATACCTCCCTCTCCTGTGGGGGGGGGGACATGTTTATTACTACTATTATTACTACTACTACCACTACTACTACTACTACTACTACTACTACTACTCATGTGCGTCGCAGCCATTATATGAGGGTGGGACAAGACCCCCCCCACTTTTTCCAATGATTAGTTTAGACCCCCCCACTTTTACCATGTGGAAAGTCCATAGAGGTTTCTCAATACTCAAATTTCGACTCCTCGACTACTCGGTTCCCCTCTTCAGTCCTCCGCTCGCATCTCCTGTGGGCGGCACCAAGTCTCGAGGATAGGAGTCGAGGAGGGGAAATTTGAGTATTGAGAAACCTCTAATGAATCGGTCTATCCACTCACCACACTTTGTAGAGCTCTGTGTCAATACTACTACACCTACTACTACTACTACTATTACACCTACTACTGCTACTACTACACTACTATGACTTAAACTACACCTACTACTAGGCTACAACTACAAATACTACAATTACTACTACAACACCTACTACTACGACTAAAACTACTACTACTACTAACATTACTATTACTACTACTACAACATTGTAATACTAGCTACTGTAATTGAGGAGCTTTTTCAGGTTTGACATGGCAACGTACTTTACAGTGACTTGTGTATTACTTGTTATGGAACACTATTCAAATACTTTCTTTATAACGTTATATAAATAACTTTCTTTAAACATGTTATTATTTCTTAATACCATATGATACTAGGACTTAGTAATGGCTCCGATAAAAGCCCTGATGTTGATCAGGAGGTTCACAGAGAAGAGTCCCGTGGAGGAGAATCAGTTTCCACTATAAATGTCAGATTGAGTTAAAGTGATTGTATTTCATTGTTTCTCTGCAGACGCTGCTGGACGTCACTAAGACATCACTAAGACATCACTAAGACGTCACTAAGACATCACTAAGACGTCACTAAGACGTCACTAAGACGGAATGAGCTGAAGCAATATGTTTGTAAAGCTTTGGTGTGCTGCTGATCTTCTGATAAGATTATATTCAGACCTCGATTCTCACGCTCAGATCCTCCAGAGTGGTCTCAGTCTGTTCACGGAGAATGTTGACCTTTTTAGAGATGGAAAGGATTTAAGTTTACAAGCTGCGACTGATGCTGAGGGCAAAAGTACACACTTCCTTTTACTCAAGTAACACCAGTGAGCCAGCTCACAGTGGCCGTTTCTCAATCGCGAGGATGCTTGCTTGGTAGCACATGTCTTCCGAGTCACTTTCTTCAGAAGCGAGGCAAGAATCCTTCCTGGCATTCGGATAACGAAGAGTGGAACAGGTTAGCAAGTGTGCAAGTGTGCGTCATATGAGAGGCCCCGCCTTACATTTTCCTCCACAGATTTGGGGATTTTGGTCCTTGCGCAAAGCATTGTGGGAATTTGAAGACCTCGGAGTCTACCCATGTGCAGCCTCGAAATTACCACCAAACCAAGGACGCGGCCTCGGTGGAATTCCAGGGGTCCTTCTCACTTCGGTTAAATGAATTCCTTGCGTCCCTCACTTGCGTCGTTTCCCTGCGTCTAGTCCCTCCCACCAAGGAAGCAAGGAGAGACGCAAGGAAACCACGAGAAGCAGGGAAATGAGTTTTCAGAGCAATGGACGTCCTTTCCTCCGGAGCGTCACGTGAAGCCGTTTGTGATGACGCTGCACAGCTGATCGTCTGACAGCAGCTCTGTCCCCGTTGTTTCCACAAACACCCCCGCCTCTGTTAGTACACATTTACTGACACACACATTTGTATCATCTGTTGTAGACCCAAATACATGAAATCAAATAAGAACTCATTCTCAAAAAAGATAAACGCCATTCTTAAAATGTAAAACGAACAATAGTTAATATATTCATTAGAGTGCACGTCACGCTGTTTGTCTGCTCCCTAATCTGCCTGTGAGTGTTTTCAGCTGTGTGTGTTTATGCAAATGAGCTGTGTGGTTGCTCCAACATCCTGGTCCGCACATCTCCTGGTCCGCCTCTGAAGATGGTGATTGGATCGACGTCGTCCAATCGCAGCGCACAGCCGGCGCACACCTGCTGGGGAGGAGTACAAAGGCTGCGGACTATCACCACTCTGGAGGCTCTGCTGCGATCAGACGCCTCATACCTCTGTGCTCTTGTGTCAGGGACATTACAGACTGCTAAGTAACGAGTGTCAATATGTGTTCAGTGTCCAGTGACAACTTAGTTAGAGTGGAGAGTAGTTTAGTTAGTGTTTAGAGTAGCTTAGGATTTTGTTGCCTTTTAGTTTAGCTGTGTGTTTTGTATATATCTCCTTTATTTAGTTGTACCACTTTTAAAGTGAGGTTTTGTTTCCTTTTGTATATTAGTATTTATGTATTGTGTATGTACACAGGCTCCTTTTTAAGAGTCCTCCCTTTGTTTGGTTGTTTGTCAACCAGTGCCCTTTTGGCCCTTTTGTTTGTGTCAGGCTGCCTGCCGGCCATTTTGTTACGCTTTGCTTTATAATAAAGCCACTTATAATTATACTAATTCTACTCTGGTCGTGTCGTTCTCTTTGGTTCCCCCGAGCCAAAGGGAACGTAACAGCGCACAATAGAAATCACATAATTGAGAGAAGAAAGAGAGAGATGTTATCTATCAAAGCCCAGTTAGATTAACATTCATTGGATTGCAGACTTTGTGTGTTTGTGTGGATATGTAGCACATTCACATTTCAATAGCACTTAATGACTGAATGGAAATGACAATAAATGAAAATGTAAAACGAAAAAAGCGATCATGAAAATGTTTCCAAAAAATGAATAAAATGATTTTTGACCACTTTGTTGTTCAGATATATCACATATTTGTAACTAAATGAAACATGAATTGAAACAAAACACGGTATAAACTGAGGAGTGAGTCCCGTGAGGTTCATGTGTTTTCTTCACTCTGCTGGGAAACAGCTCTCATGTCAAGAAGCATCAGATCAGTGCATGCACTGCATCGTCCAATCAGTGAGCGATACACAGTAAGGGGGCGGGGCGAGTGTCTGAGGATTTCATCGAAGGATGGTCTGGTGGTTCCTCGCTTATAGCTCCTCGGTCCTCTGGCAGAAATAAGGCCATTGGGACGCTACTCAAGATGGCGCAGACAAATCAACTTCCGGTGAGACCGAGAGCGAGGAGCGAGGAAATGAAAAATAAGAGAAGTGAGAAGGGGCCCAGGTATGCTGGAGATTGCAACAGGCCTTCGGCGGCACTCGATGACGTAGTATCCTTGAAATATTGGCTTGGAAGCCAGAATCCTCGAGATTGAGAAACGGCCCGCTCCTCACAGCAGCGAGCCTCTGGTCCCGCCGAGAGTGTGTGAGGAAGTCCGCGGATTGGTCCAAACGTTACGTTACGTCACTATACCCAAGAAGTAAACAATGGAAAAAGAGAGATCCCCAACGAGGCGTTCTGGGGCAGCAGACAGGTCTTCTCTGTGTTAGAGTTTTACTCCCTACAGGGTGCACTTTGAGGGTTTGTGACTGCAGACCGTTCACATGCAGAACAACCTTCATAACACAAGGGGACGGGTGATAACCGGAAAAGCATGACATGGGACCTCTAAGACTGTTTATATAATTTCTTGACATTTTTCACAATTGAAACAAAAAAAGTACTCTTTTTTTTACAAATCTTTTGGGGATATTTAAAAAATGTTCACACTTTTTTGACATTTCGCTCTTCTATTTTTCACACGTTTTTAGGACATGTTATCCTCACATTTCCAGAGCTTAGCAAAGTCCAAAAGACAACATTTAAAACTCACATTAAGTTTGATCCCAGTGGTTCCCAACCAGTTTGGGGGGGCGCCAAAGATCGCAGGGGGGGCGCCAGGCCTCAGATGATTTGAGGCCAAATATCATATTTAGACTTTTTTTTTTTTTACATATAATTGTAAGGCAATACATGATTGTCACTAAAAGCCTTGTCTCTACATTACAATAACATATACAAAATAATTGATTAATTAATTTTAATAAAAATTCAAGTGAGTATTAAAGGCATAAAAAGACAGAAATGTATAATTATTTCTATAGAAATGTTTCTTCTGCCCGTAAAGTGTCCAAACCAGGCTTTTCTGGATAAGCGCATTTTTAAAACAGTCATTGTCCATGCCGGGTTCAGTTGGATTATTTGTCACAGTTGCTCCGATCAGATCGGTCTCCTCCATTTTGTAGATTATTTACGACTTTTGAATCCACATCGGCAAAATCCGGCTTACTTTGAGCACGTGTTTTAAACAGTTTCATCCCTTTGTGAATTGTTTCCACTTCTGCGCCGTCCTTTAATTTCTTCATACAGCGGGAATCCAAATGAATGAATCCTGAGTCCAATAACCATCAAAGTCACTCCAACAGTGCTCCTTGATTACGCTTTCATCCTCCTTTAACAACATACTTCACATTCATCCAGTTTGTGACAGAAGTTGTAGCATTTTGAGACTTTTAAACTTTAATTACCGCTGTTGCTGTTGTGTGTGTGTGTGTGTGGGGGGGGGGCGCAACTTCCAACAGGAGTCATTTGGGGGGGGCTCTTGGGAAAAAAGGTTGGGAACCCCTGTTTTATCCAACCGAATACTCTGCTTTAAACTTTATGTTTTGGCGTGTGGCTTTTAAAGAAAGGTCAAACACTCAACAATAACTTCCATTACATTTCTACACATGTAATAATGGATAACATACAAAGGTTACAGGTAGACTTTGTTTCTCCCTTTTTAAGATATCTTTTTTACATATTTTCTTGACATTTTTCACAATTAAACTAAAAAACACTCATTTTTCACACATCCTTTGGGAGATATTTATCATTTGTTCCACACTTTTTTGAAATGTCTGTCGTCTATTTTTAGGACATGTTATCCTCACTTTTCCAGAGCTTAGCAAAGTCCAAATACAACATTTATAACTCACATCATGTTTTATCCAACCGAATACTAATAATGGACAGCATGTGTGAAGGCTCCTGTTATCCGCAGGGGGTCTGGGGCTGCTGGTGGTCGATGGGGAAGTAGTAGAAGGGGGTGTCGGGGGGGCAGGGGTGACCGTGAGGTGGGGGCGGTTTAGTGTTGCCATGGTGATCACAGCCCACCGTCAGGTTGTGAGAGAGCGGGACCTTCACCTGGAACCATACCTCCCTCTCCTGGGGGGGGGGGGGAGAAGCATGTTTATTACTACTATTATTACTACTAATACCTACTACTGCTACTACAACTACTACTACTACTACTACTACTACTAATATTACTACTACTACTACTACTACTACTACTACTACTACTACAACTGCTACTACAACTACTACTACTACTATTACTACTACAATTATTACTACTATTATTACTACTATTATTACTACAGTACTACTACTATTAGTACTACTACTACTGCTACTATTACTACAGTACTACTACTGCTACTATTGCTACTAATACACCTATTACTACTACTGCTACTTCTACAATTACCACTACTACTGCTAAACTACTACAACTACTACTAATATTATTACTACTATTACTATTACTACTACAGCTACTACTACTGCTACTGCTATTACAACTACTATTACTACTACTACTAATATTATTACTACTATTATTACTACTACTACAATTATTACTACTACTACAACTACACAATTGTAATTGTGTATGGCTACTGTAATTCAGGAGCTTTTTCAGGTTTGACATAGCAACATACTTTACAGTGACTTGTGTATTACTTGTTATGGAATACTTTACCATTACTTTTAAAATATTTTACTTTTTGTATTTTACTTTTTAACACTACTATAGTGTGACATCGACTATACTATGACTTTTTTCATGACTTGTTGCAGAGTGCGGCTTTTTATCCCTCTTAATTGTTTTCTACGACCATAAACAAACTATTACGTTTTAATGGCACACTAGACAATGACTTTCTTTAAAACTTTATATAAATAACTTTCTTTAAACATTTTATTATTCTTTAATACCATATGATACTAGGACTTTGTAATGGCTCCGATAAAAGCCCACAATACTGAGCTGATGTTGATCAGGAGGTTCACAGAGAAGCAATAGCCGCGTTCACACCGCAGTACTTTTCCCACTTTAGCTCCGATATGTTGCGTTCACACCAAAAAGAGCCGGAACTCAAATGAGTTCATCAGAACCTTTTTACCCCCTTTTCCGTCCCTGCTAGAGAGCAGGTACTTCCTGGGAGAACAAGGTTCCTATTTCTGATTGGCTGGGCGGATTGCATTACATGACATTGTTCAAAATGTAAGAAGTAGAAAGTACAGGTATTTGGGTTCAACATGTGAGAAGTAGAAAGTACAGGTATTGGGTTCAACATGTGAGAAGTAGAAAGTACAGGTATTTGGGTTCAAACATATAAGAAGTAGAAAGTACAGGTATTTGAGTTCAACATGTGAGAAGTAGAAAGTACAGGTATTTGTGTTCAAACATGTGAGAAGTAGAAAGTACAGGTATTTGAGCTTTCAACATGTAAGAAGTAGAAAGTACAGGTATTTGAGTTCAGCATTGAGAAGTAGAAAAGTACAGGTATTTGAGTTCAACATGTAAGAAGTAGAAAGTACAGGTATTTGTGTTCAACATGTGAGAAGTAGAAAGTACAGGTATTTGAGTTCAACATGTAAGAAGTAGAAAGTACAGGTATTTGGGTTCAACATGTAAGAAGTAGAAAGTACAGGTATTTGAGTTCAGCATGTGAGAAGTAGAAAGTACAGGTATTTGAGTTCAACATGTGAGAAGTAGAAAGTACAGGTATTTGTGTTCAACATGTGAGAAGTAGAAAGTACAGGTATTTGAGTTCAACATGTAAGAAGTAGAAAGTACAGGTATTTGAGTTCAGCATGTGAGAAGTAGAAAGTACAGGTATTTGAGTTCAACATGTAAGAAGTAGAAAGTACAGGTATTTGGGTTCAGCATGTGAGAAGTAGAAAGTACAGGTATTTGTGTTCAACATGTGAGAAGTAGAAAGTACAGGTATTTGTGTTCTACATGTAAGAAGTAGAAAGTACAGGTATTTGGGTTCAACATGTGAGAAGTAGAAAGTACAGGTATTTGGGTTCAACATGTGAGAAGTAGAAAGTACAGGTATTTGGGTTCAACATATAAGAAGTAGAAAGTACAGGTATTTGAGTTCAACATGTGAGAAGTAGAAAGTACAGGTATTTGTGTTCAACATGTGAGAAGTAGAAAGTACAGGTATTTGAGTTCAACATGTAAGAAGTAGAAAGTACAGGTATTTGAGTTCAGCATGTGAGAAGTAGAAAGTACAGGTATTTGAGTTCAACATGTAAGAAGTAGAAAGTACAGGTATTTGTGTTCAACATGTGAGAAGTAGAAAGTACAGGTATTTGAGTTCAACATGTAAGAAGTAGAAAGTACAGGTATTTGAGTTCAGCATGTGAGAAGTAGAAAGTACAGGTATTTGTAGTTCAACATGTGAGAAGTAGAAAGTACAGGTATTTGTGTTCAACATGTGAGAAGTAGAAAGTACAGGTATTTGAGTTCAACATGTAAGAAGTAGAAAGTACAGGTATTTGAGTTCAGCATGTGAGAAGTAGAAAGTACAGGTATTTGAGTTCAACATGTAAGAAGTAGAAAGTACAGGTATTTGGGTTCAGCATGTGAGAAGTAGAAAGTACAGGTATTTGTGTTCAACATGTGAGAAGTAGAAAGTACAGGTATTTGTGTTCTACATGTAAGAAGTAGAAAGTACAGGTATTTGAGTTCAACATGTAAGAAGTAGAAAGTACAGGTATTTGAGTTCAGCATGTAAGAAGTAGAAAGTACAGGTATTTGTGTTCAAAATGTGAGAAGTAGAAAGTACAGGTATTTGTGTTCAACATGTAAGAAGTAGAAAGTACAGGTTTTTATTGTTCAAAGTGTAAGAAGTAGAAAGTACAGGTATTTGTGTTCAACATGTGAGAAGTAGAAAGTACAGGTATTTGAGTTCAACATGTAAGAAGTAGAAAGTACAGGTATTTGAGTTCAGCATGTGAGAAGTAGAAAGTACAGGTATTTGAGTTCAACATGTAAGAAGTAGAAAGTACAGGTATTTGAGTTCAAAATGTAAGAAGTAGAAAGTACAGGTATTTGGGTTCAGCATGTGAGAAGTAGAAAGTACAGGTATTTGTGTTCAACATGTGAGAAGTAGAAAGTACAGGTATTTGTGTTCAACATGTAAGAAGTAGAAAGTACAGGTATTTGAGTTCAAAATGTAAGAAGTAGAAAGTACAGGTATTTGTGTTCAACATGTGAGAAGTAGAAAGTACAGGTATTTGTGTTCAACATGTGAGAAGTAGAAAGTACAGGTATTTGTGTTCAACATGTAAGAAGTAGAAAGTACAGGTATTTGAGTTCAACATGTAAGAAGTAGAAAGTACAGGTATTTGAGTTCAGCATGTAAGAAGTAGAAAGTACAGGTATTTGTGTTCAAAATGTGAGAAGTAGAAAGTACAGGTATTTGTGTTCAACATGTAAGAAGTAGAAAGTACAGGTTTTTATTGTTCAAAGTGTAAGAAGTAGAAAGTACAGGTATTTGAGTTCAACATGTAAGAAGTAGAAAGTACAGGTATTTGAGTTCAACATGTGAGAAGTAGAAAGTACAGGTATTTGAGTTCAACATGTAAGAAGTAGAAAGTACAGGTATTTGGGTTCAACATGTGAGAAGTAGAAAGTACAGGTATTTGTGTTCAACATGTAAGAAGTAGAAAGTACAGGTATTTGGGTTCAAAGTGTAAGAAGTAGAAAGTACAGGTATTTGTGTTCAACATGTGAGAAGTAGAAAGTATAGGTATTTGTGTTCAAAGTGTAAGAAGTAGAAAGTACAGGTATTTGTGTTCAAAGTGTAAGAAGTAGAAAGTTCAGGTATTTGTGTTCAAAGTGTAAGAAGTAGAAAGTACAGGTATTTGTGTTCAACATGTGAGAAGTAGAAAGTACAGGTATTTGTGTTCAAAGTGTAAGAAGTAGAAAGTAAAGGTATTTGGGTTCAACATGTAAGAAGTAGAAAGTACAGGTATTTGGGTTCAACATTGTAAGAAGTAGAAGAAAGTACAGGTATTGGGTTCAAACATGTGAGAAGTAGAAAGTACAGGTATTTGTGTTCAACATGTGAGCAGTAGGAAATATACAAGGTATTGTGTTCAACATGTAAGAAGTATAAGTACAGGTATTTGTGTTCAAACATGTAAGAAGTAGAGAAAGTAAGGTATTTGGGTTCAACATGTGAGAAGTAGAAAGTACAGGTATTTGTGTTCAACATGTAAGAAGTAGAAAGTACAGGTATTTAGGTTCAACATGTATGAAGTAGAAAGTACAGGTATTTGTGTTCAACATGTAAGAAGTAGAAAGTACAGGTATTTGTGTTCAACATGTAAGAAGTAGAAAGTACAGGTATTTAGGTTCAACATGTATGAAGTAGAAAGTACAGGTATTTAGATTCAACATGTATGAAGTAGAAAGTACAGGTATTTGTGTTCAACATGTGAGAAGTAGAAAGTACAGGTATTTGTGTTCAACATGTAAGAAGTAGAAAGTACAGGTATTTGGGTTCAACATGTGAGAAGTAGAAAGTACAGGTATTTGTGTTCAACATGTAAGAAGTAGAAAGTACAGGTATTTAGGTTCAACATGTATGAAGTAGAAAGTACAGGTATTTGTGTTCAACATGTAAGAAGTAGAAAGTATAGGTATTTGTGTTCAACATGTATGAAGTAGAAAGTACAGGTATTTAGGTTCAACATGTATGAAGTAGAAAGTACAGGTATTTGTGTTCAACATGTGAGAAGTAGAAAGTACAGGTATTTAGGTTCAACATGTAAGAAGTAGAAAGTATAGGTATTTGTGTTCAACATGTAAGAAGTAGAAAGTATAGGTATTTGTGTTCAACATGTATGAAGTAGAAAGTACAGGTATTTGTGTTCAACATGTAAGTAGAAGTAGAAAGTATAGGTATTTGTGTTCAACATGTATGAAGTAGAAAGT